TGTGTGTGTGTGTGTGTGTGTGTGTGTGTGTGTGTGTGTGTGTGAGTGTGTGTGTGTACGTATGTACGTGCATTTGTGTGTATGTACGTACTTGCGCATGTGTGTGAGGCTGCTGTGGTATGCACCTGTCACAGACATCCATTGTGGAAATCAACTTTACGCACAGGTTTATTACTGTAAACACAGAGGAACTCAGATGTTTGGTAGACCATAGATCTTTGTTTATTTAATAGTTTATGTGAAGAAACGAGTTGCTGTGCTTCAGTGGAGAGTTTTAATGACATCACATGATGTTGGCGATTTCAATTTTAGAATCATATGGATAAGACCGTTCCATCTGACGTGACTCAGCTTTGGGTGGACTGGACTGGCAGAGTCCCGATCGGTCTGTCAGCTCCCTGTGGAACCCCAGTGTGAGCGCTGCACGTGCACGCACAACGCACGGCTCTTCACTGTGTGTCTTGATCACAGAAGCTGCAAAATATTTTTTTTAGAAGCTGAAAACCGCTCATGAGTCAGTCCTCATCTTGGATCATAAAATCCACTCTGTGTATAAATACACACTGTGTGTTACACTATTTATTATATTCTCCAGTAAGGCTGAATCCGTTCCTCTTAAAGGTACTGTATTTTTGGCACAACTTTGTGCGTCCTTTTATCTAACGGCATAATCGTGTGTCTGCTGTGAGCAAAAATCATTTTAACGTCATGAACAGTTTCTCAGAATCACCTCTAAGTGTGGCCAAAGGAACCAGAAACCCTGAAACGTGTGACACCAGCCCTGGAGTTGGCGTGGGGCTGCGCACTTTTCCACGTTCATTTCTGTTTTGATAAATCCAGAGCTTTGAGTGGAAAAGGGCGTCTGTGTTTGAACAGCAACTTCCACTTCAGTTTAGATATGCTAAAAGTAGCATCCATGCTAGCTCTGTAAACAGTCAGCTGAATGAGAAGTCACATCTTTTACTGCGCATGCTGCTTACATCAGTGCTGTGTAGCGTTCTGGAGTCTGATGGAGGTCACTTTTAAAATGTAATGCAAACATTCACGCCAAAAAAAATGTGTTTTTTTTAAATCAAAATTGAGCATTAAGACGTGTGGCAGTGTGAATGTAGCCTTATATTCAGACTTCAACCTACCAACACTGCGTTTATGTTGGCAGCAAAGGTTACACACATCTTTTATCGACAGGTTGGTATTACAGAGTGTCATCACACCATACATCAGCACAATAGTAATTATATGTCATTGTTTTTTAATTTGGCATCACYRCCATGTTGTTTAAGGCATTCAATACATCCATCCATTCATTTATCTATCCATCCATCCATCCATCCATCCATCCATCCATCCATCCATCCATCCATTTTCTTCCTCCTATCCGGGGTCGGGTCGCGGGGGCAGCAGCTTCAGAAGGGAGGCCCAGACCTCCCTCTCCCCAGCCACTTCTTCCAGCTCCTCCGGGGGAACYCCAAGGCGTTCCCAGGCCAGCCGAGAGACATAGTCCCTCCAGCGTGTCCTGGGTCTTCCTCGGGGCCTCCTCCCGGTGGGACGTGCCCGGAATACCTCACCAGGGAGGCGTCCAGGAGGCATCCTTACCAGATGCCCGAGCCTCCTCAACTGGCTCGAAATTCTGTCCATGAAAGTAATGAACAGAATCGGTGACAAAGGGCAGCCTTGGCAGAGTCCAACTCTTACCGGAAACGAGCCCGACTTACTGCCGGCAATGCGGACCAGACTCTGACACCGGTTGTACAAGGACCTGACAGCCCGTATCAAATGGCCCGGTACCCCATACTCCCGGAGAACCCCCCACAAGGCCCCCCTTGGGACACGGTCGAACGCCTTCTCCAAGTCCACAAAACACATGTAGACMGGTTGGACGAACTCCCATGYACCCTCCAGGACCCTGCTGAGGGTGTAGAGCTGGTCCAGTGTTCCAYGACCAGGACSAAAACCACACTGCTCTTCCTGAATCCRAGGTTCGACTATCCGACGGCATTCAATACAGTTGTCACTTTTTTTTTCTAGTTTTTATGAAACAGCTGCAGCATTACAAAAACGTCTCAAATTTGTTTTGTGGAAATTACACTTTTTTAGGATTTACAACTTCTGACCTGATGTAATCCTCAGAACTCTTAGACATTTTTAGAAGCAGACAGCTAAACTGTTGAGCACAAATTATGTTGGAAGTTGTTTTTTAAAGGATGGTAATTAAAGCATTGAAGCACCTTTTACTAATATCCTACTAAAAATATTGTCCTTTATTTAGTTGCACGTCTTTAACTTAAAATGTTCAAATAATAGRCCAAAATGTGCACCACGATTAGGGGTAGTTTAGTTTGATTTTTTTRTAATGGTACTTTGCGCAACTTGGATATAATTAGTGAAACATCTGTGAGAACAAAATAAGAGATCGGTGTATTTTGGCAAAACATAAAAAACAAGCCCTGTGTGGAGCTCTGTAGCTGAAGCATACTTCACAGTAGAACATTGTTCAAACGAAGCTGTCTGAAATATTCAAAACTTTTGCAATCTAGACCTCTTACTGAACCACTCTTTTTGTTATACATAGAAATTACACATTCAAACCAAACTTTAGGTTTTTTTGTCTTTCATCCAGTGTGTCTCTCACTGTTACATCATGTAACTATTCACTACACTGTAAAATGATGTGAGATGATGGCAGAATCAGCACAAACAACACAGCTGTCAGAGTGGATGTTTACTTTTCGTTGATGATGAGCTGGAGGAGAAAGATCTGGTATTTTTATTGTTAACCAAGAGAAAGCACTACGTCGTAAATTTGTCGTAAATTGCCTTTCCTTATAATTTTACTGGAACAATTGAAATGTTGGCTGTATTTTTCACAGCCTCAGCCAGCAGCTTCTCAGCAGGTGCTGCTTCAGAGATCAGCTCATTGAAGCCACTTTACATAACGTGCACACAAAGTTCACACCAATCACACAGTGCTTGATTCATAGTGAGACTGGGGACAATGTACAAGACTGTGTCTAAAAACTATGCAATTTGCTTTTCCCGTATAAGCAAGATGTGAGAATGGGCCCTTTTGTTATAAATCTGTTTTATAAATCGGGTTTCAGTTTCCACAGGCTCAGTTATTATATTTATCTCAAAATATCTTCATAAGTTTTATATGTAGTTCTTTTTAAAATGGTATCTGCTCTGTGTTTTGTCTAAGGATCCCACTGTGATTCCTCATTTAATGTTTCTACTGAGCAACTCCCAGAGAACCCAGGAGTACATCACACAGGTCTTCTCCCACTGTTGTAAGGTATTTGTTGGCGTTTGGTCTCACAAACTCGATGGTCAGTCGCAGAGGGAGCCAGACCGTGATTTGTCTTTCTCTACAGACCCCAGAACACCAGACGGTTCTTTTCAACCACGGYGCCATCCAGAAAATCTCTCCCATGCTTTTTTCTCCTTCTTATAAAGTAAGATACCTCACACTGAGGGCTGATGTCATCTCTTTTCACTTTAAACCCCAGTATTATCTTCTGTGCTCCGTTTCATCACATCTGCAGGTCCGGATGCAGGCATTAAAGTGTTTCTCTGTCCTGGCCTATGAGAACACTCAGGTCTCTGCGACACTGGTGAATGGTGAGGACATCTCATCTCTTTTTAATTCCATTTTTTAGTATCCTTTTTGAACTTTAATTTATCTTCTGGTTGTCAGTGCTAGTGGATGGTGAGCTGCTCACTCAGGTATTTGTTAAAATGATGCAAAGGGATCAACCTGTTGAAATGCAGCTGACTGCAGCCAAATGGTGAGTGATGTAACAGCTTTATTATTAGGCTGAAGACATTTGATCATAATTCATGTTTTGACCTCTTTTTCTGTCCCAGTTTAACGTACATGTGTCGAGCAGGTGCCATTAAAACAGATGACAGCTGCGTAGTACTAAAGGTAAGACTGCTAATGTTATATTCCTTAATTTAAAATTACTTATTAAAACATTAAGCTCATTCAGAAGATTTTATGACTAATTTTGTACAAAGATGCTTTTCAGAATTGTACTTTTTTTTCTGATACTTTTTTATTTAGTTTATCTTTCGCTGTTTATTTAATTTTAGCAACTGTTTTGCTAATTTTACCTAGCCTTTTGAAACGTTAAAAATAGCCCTTTTTAACTTTGCGCAAGATAATTACTATTTATTTTAGTTAGCTTTTATTACTTTTAGCCTTTATTACCTTATATAACTTTTTCTTTTATGTAGCCTTTTTAGTACTAGGTCTTTGCTACTTTTACCTTTTAAGATAACTTGTTGCAACTTTAAGATGGCCTTTTGCTACTTTTAGCTTTTTAGCATTTTTGATCCTTATGATTTTCAGCTAGTGTTTTACTGATTTTAGTTTTAACAATTCAACTTCTTCAATAAATTTTAAGTTGTCCAGATAGAAAAATATCAAAAATCAAAATAAATAAATAATAATAGTCCAGAGGACCTGTTTATTTTATTTATTTATTTTTGATTTAACTTGTACCTTTTTTCTAAGTTTTCTGTTGCACAAACAAATGTCGTTTCTCTAGTTACTTCTATGATCATTGCCTCYCCTCATGCATCATGACTCTGTTTAAATCCAGACGCTGCCGTGCCTTGTGCGAATGTGCAGCAAAGAGCATTTACTTGAGGAGAGAGTGGAAGGTGCGGAGACGCTGGCTTACCTGATTGAACCGGACGTTGAGCTGCAGAGGATTGCGAGCACCACCGATCACCTTGTGTCGATGCTGGCCGACTATTTCAAGTATCCTAGTTCTGTCTCTGCCATCACTGACATCAAGAGGGTGGGTCTTTGTCATCGAACTAATGGTTATGTGTAGGTGTTTTTAACAAGGGTGAAGAGGACAGGTTTTAACAAAAAAGGTGGATCCGTGTCTTGAGCCAGTTATTTGCACACATTCCAGTTCTGAGATTTACATTTAATGTAAATAAATACAGAAAGTTAAGTAGGTCCTCTGAACCAGTGGTTCTCAATCCTGATCCTCAAGGACCACTATCCTGCATGGTTTTTTTATACAATGTATTGATCCCCTGGTGGGGAAATTAAGTCTCTGCATTTTACCTATCGCACATGTGAGCACATGTGGAGCAGTGGGCTGCCAATTACAGCGCCTGGGGAGCAGCTGGGGGGTTAAGGGCCTTGCTCAAGGGCCCAAAGTGGGGCTGGTTGGTCCGCTGGGAGTCGAACCGGCGACCTTCCGATCACAGACTCGGCTTCTCTACCCTCTGCGCCACCACCACAGTTTCCCTGCTTTAAAGGCACAGTGTGTAGGATTTGTTGTTTTCAGCGACATCTAGTGGTTGAATCATCCTCCCTGGTCCTCCCCCCACCCCCACCCCCCCGCTTCCAAACACAAAGGAGTTGCT